CCACCCCCGGAAAAAATGCACAGATGCACTACATTCAACGCCTCAAGTTGAGGCCCGCTGAAAAGGGGCAGCCCAGTACACAAGACATCCCGCGTTCACGTAGGGTTCGGGAGAGGGCCGCACCCTAAGGGATGTGATGTAGACAGCCTACCCTAATGCAAGCATTAGTGGTTGCTTCCACGACACACCTCGAGTTGAGGCCCGCTGCAATATTACAATTTCCAACTTTTCAATCTCATGAAATTGTGTCCATTTTAGTTGTAATACTAAATATATTAGCTACATATCATTTCTATCAGCATCTCATTTCTTTTTTATTTGTTTTATTAATCCATATATTATTAACTATTGCTCTCCTTCCTCCTTTACATGAGGCAGTTTCGGCTTTCTGTTTCGGGACGTCCCAAAAATGTTTGATAAAGTTCAATTTCTTCACAATTTTCAAGGATTCAAATTCATTAGCATTCAAAATTTTACTATGATATGATGTTCTCTACCGAACAAACTTTCAATTTTAGTGTTTTCTTCTACTATCACCAATAAAATATACTATTCAATGAACATCTTAAAAGTCCGTATCATATAAATTGTGATGGAGGGAGTATCTATTATCAACATCCTCTCTTTCTTTTCTTTTTTTTTGATAAGGTAAGATTTATTGGTGTAAACCAGCAGACACTGGGAAAGGTTCATCACAGAGAATGTAAGGAACAGATAAAGTCCAACATAGCTTCAGGCTCTAAGAAGTTTGCCGCTGCAATGAAAACTAAGCAAGAATATATATTTGTGTTTAGGCTTAACTACATCTATTATCAACATCTTTTCTTGGGTTGAAACAAAGAGAATTTTGGGATTTTCAAGTTCTATCAAATGAGCAATTTTGTCCATTCATTAATCTGACGAAAAAAAATTAAACCTGTTCTTCAAAGAGAACTAATGCCATTAGAACTGCACATATGATCAAATGGTCCCACATGATTTTGTTCTAATTACAAGACAATGCCTTCGCCAGCAGTCGTCCGACCAGTAAGCAAGGTGCAAAAATTCACTTGCCCTTCTTTATAAACTTAACAATAGCTTTTTTTAAGAAAAAAACTTGAGAAATAGCTATTTCTGAAAATTCCAATTTACATTTCAGGATAATGGATCCTTCATCATACATTACATTGAATTGACTATCACCCAAAACTGTTTTGACTCTGTCAATAAGGGCCGTTGTGTATGGATATGAATACTACTCCTATTTCAGTATTTGCACATATTGAAATTCAGTATTTGAAAATATTGATTTTCAAGTGAATTTTATGTCCAGACACGGATTTCCATAAAGTTTTTTATTCAACTTCAACTTCCAACACTCTTTTTTCAACTATAACTCAAACATTGTCCAAACGCCTCCGTTGCGCCTTCATAAGAACTTTGACCTATCACTAATATGGTAAAAACGGTCAAATATGTGCTCTCGATTGCTACCCTCAGGAAATAAAGAAATTAAAACCAACTAAAACTAAAACCAAGAAATTCTCAGAAAACAGGCAAATTCAACAATCAAATGGAAAATAAATAGAAAACTAAACAAAACGTAGAATTAAGAAAAAACAAAGAAGATAAAAACAGATTTCAGATACCGAGCATTATTATCGGAGCACTTAAAGAAAAAAAAGATAATAGAAGTGGAACGGACCAGTGGTGATGAGTGGTGAGAACAAACTTAAGGTCAACTTCGTTCTCTTGAGCAACTCTAAGGACCTTATGTGGCTCCACTGGGTCCACCACTGCAGCATCCTTTGTTGTTTCATCTATGATCCTGCAAACCAGCCCAAAAATTCATAGAATAAACACACAGAAAAAAAAAACCCTAAACCTGATATGAATTAACAAAATTTGAAATAGACATCTGAATGTGAGCAACAAACATATAGGAATAGTTGTCATCTAAGCATGGAATGTGAAGAACTTTCATCTCTGGCGCCGATCAGATGATAATACCAGACCACTCAGTTCTGTCAAGTTGGAAAAAGGAAATCATCGAGCGCGACTGTTAAAACTGTGAGAACAAGGGACTAGAATGACGTGGATAAGATTCGATGTTCCACAGCGTTTGAGCAACTGACGTGGCAAGGAAAATATTAATGTGTGTTTCGGTGGGCAAAAATAATTCTTTTTTTTTTTGGAGTTGTAGAAATGTCTAAAAGAATGCAGAATTGCTCAATTGGAATGCAGAATTGGACACCCCTGACAACTTTTATTTAGTTCCTCTTAAATTTTATGTGATTTTTAATATCTCTGAATTTAAAAATTTGATAGTCTTAATCCCCCTATATATGTTGATGTGGCAAAGAGCGTGAATATACTCTTTTTTAGGTGTGTGAAAGGAAAAATAAATTGAAAAATTAGCTTTCAAGTGTGGTATATTCAAATATTAATTGCCACATAATCAAATATAATGATATATTTATTTCAATTGTATTTTTCATTGTTTCTTCTTAATATAAATTGCATATTTTTTTCCAATTGTATTTTTTTAGATACAATATATATGGAAGAGTTAGTTGAAACTCCATTTATTTTAGCCAAATAAAAATAAGATTTAGCCAAAGTAATGAAGTTAAAATGGTATAGTTTCTACAAAAAGAAAATAATATTGTGTGTTTTTATTTTTATTTTCATGCAATGAATATTTATTTAAACTATGCATTTTTTCTTTTTGAGTCAAATTCGCAAATTTTTGGTCGGAGTTTTACTATTTTAGCTAAAATATTTATTTAGCCAATATATGGAATTCCAACAATGGATTTTATTTTTTATTTTTTTAGATGCAATGATAATATGTTAATTATGTATTTTTCTTTTACTAACCAAATATGTAAAGGTAACTTGATTAAAATATCAGTATCTTTAGCTAAATAAAAAATTATAGTCAAAATAACATTGTTTTAATTTATTTATTTTTTTACGAATTTTGACACGAAAAGATGATTTAAATAGTTGGTGGACTTAAAAAGATGATTTAAATAGTTGGTGGATATATATANCTTCCACAGGTTGTCAACGTCCAGCGGGGTCGAGGCTACGAAATTGCCAAGTTGAGGGGGTATTAAAAAACACGAGAAGTTTAAGGGAAAACTAAACAAAAGTTGTCGAGTTCGGGGTTCTCGAACTATTCTGCCATCCAAGTTAAATAAAATTATTTTTTGTTTATAGTTAAACTCTCTCTCCTCACTCTAGCTTTATCTCTCTAAGACAATGACTGAAGTTAATTTAGCTGGGAAATATTTGAGTGACCCACCGCATAACCTCCACACAAGTATAATCAACCGACAACCAAGCTAACAAAACTTCGACACATACCCTACAGACACCTATTCAAAACTCCCCGCCACTTAGCACTTACTATTCCCTCTGAAAAGGATAAAACAGCACAACTCCGCCAAATAACCACCACCAATGCTGATAACTCCGTTCAATAAATGAATAATCTCCAAACCGGAAACGGTCCCAATAATTCTAACATTCCAAATCTTATCTAGCCCAGTAGCACCACTACAATCACACCTCCTAACCAACCAAATATTTTAGCAAACTTTGATAAACATGACCCAAGGAACAAAAACAGAGGGGATGTTAGCATGCATGACCAAGGAAAGACAGAGAAGACCATAGACCCATCTCAAGCACTAGCCACAAAAGAGATAGTGACGGGAGATAAAGCGACATCATCTGGTGCTAATAAATGGAACCAAGGTTCTTCTAAACCATCCTTTGTTACAGTGGTTCAATCGGAGCTTCCAGTACTGAGTGAAGGGGCAAAGAATATGGATATCACCCATGGCACTCGCCTAGGAAAACCAACGGTGTTCTTTAAGGCAGAAGATTACTTTGTTAACCTGGCACAGAAGTGTTGATTCACCTTGATTGATAAATTCTACAAGACAAAACCACCAATGGAAGATACAAGAAAGGCTTTCATCAGTCAAGTCCATTTGAAAGGAAAGGTTAAAATAGCCTTTTTTGATTTCCAGCATGTGTATATTGATTTTACGCATGAAGTTATTTATACTCACATTAAACTCAAGAACTTTGTGGATATTATGGGTGCTCCAATGAAGATTCTATTGTGCTCTCCTGACTTTAAGTCGGAAGTTAAAACGGTTGTTGTCTTAGTGTGGATTCTCATCCATCATGTCCCATGGCATTTGTTTAGATGGAAAATCGAGTCCAGAATGGTACAATCTATTGGAATTGCTATTGCCCCTGACCAAGCTACTTACTCGAAGTCCAAGGGAAATGTAGCTAAAATGAAGGTAGAAATTAATCTGTTAAAACAAAGGATGGATCAGTTATGGTTGAGTTTTAAAGGCTTGAAGGGGAAGATGATGGTGTTTGGCTTGATATTGAATATGAAGGAGTTCCTTCCTACTGCCTTTATTGTAAAATGCAAGGTCGTGTGAAAAGTCAATGCTGGAACAAAGTGAGGGATGATAGAATAAAAAAGGAGAGGGAAGAAAGAAGCAACATGGAAAAAGGAAATACTCAGCAGGAGGTCACAACAATTACTCCACTAGACCAGAATAGAGAGAAGAAGTTTCAGACAGTAACTAGGAGAAAGAACCCAAAAAATAAGAATGCTCCAAAAATTAACCAACACATGGGAACATAACAAAGAAACAATGAGCAGAGGAAATGGAGTGATAAAGAGAACAAAAGGAATGAGACCATTGTAACTAAAGTACCAGTCATAGCTCTACAAAAAGAAATAGTCCAGGAAGTGTCAGGGAAAGGAAAGGGTATTGATATAGGGGATCCAAAAAAAATCTTCATAGACCCAAAAGTTCAACAAGATGAAGCCAAGCTGACACAACCAATAAGGAAAATAAGAGAAAGAAGAGTTTAAAACAAACAAAGGATGCGGCAGGGGGAGAAGTTATGTTACAAGTACATCAAGCAGAGAAACAAGGTGAATTCCGTAATAAGGATCCTACAAGACCAATAACATAGAGTAATACAATAGATAAAGGGGAGCATAGCAGACAAAGGCAGGAGGACGAAATCCTTCATCCAAGCCCAATGGCTACTTAACAACAATTAGAACAGAAGGGAGGAAATAAAGAAATTACCCATATCATTGATCCATGTGAGGCACAGAAGAGATTCAATAAACTAATTTTAGGATCTAACCTGGAGAGGAATCATGATCTAGACCCTGGTGGTGACAGCTGAATTCATTCCACTGAAGAAGAAGAATATGGTAGCTCTGAGGATAATGATTATGAAGATGAGGGCTCAATGGAGAGTGAGGAGTTTGAAAGTGCGGACAGTGAAGAAGAGGTCATCAATGACATTGCCACAAGTCTAGTGGAAGTCTTTGTAGGTGAAGCTACATTACATCAGGCCATGACTAGTGCTATCAACTTAGGCCATCTATCACCTAGGGCAAGAATGGATCAAGAGGAGGTAGAGGAACAATAAGAGGAAGGAGTGGCAGACAATCTTATCAAAGGCCTGCAAAGTCCTCAAAGAACCAAATCCCCTCAAACCAGTAATCATGTTTAAGTCCTTATTCTGGAATATCAGGAGCATTAAGTCCAACGATGCTCTTGAAAGACTTAAACAATTGGTTAGAGCAAACAAGTTATCGTTCATCGCCTTAGATGAACCATTCTATAAGGTTGACAAACTGGAGAAGTACAAAAGATTTTGGGATTTAGTAATGCCTTCGCAAACTGCAATGGTCAAATATGGGTATTCTGGGAGGATAACCTGGACTGCCTAGTGGTTGAAGAGTATGATCAACAAGTAACTTGTATCATTAATCCAGATGTTGTATCCTTTCTTATATCATATGTGTATGCTAAATGTGAAGATGAGTTGAGAGAAGGTCTATGGAACAAATAAGGGATATTAGTGCCAAGTACACTCTTCCTTGGTTTATAGCATGAGATTTTAACTGTATCATTGACCTCTCTGAGAAGAAGGGTGGAAATCCTCATAGAATGCCTAAAAGTTTCTCTTTTATTCAATACATTATGGATTGTGAACTGGTAGATGCGGGCTACAGTGGTTCAGCATTCACCTAGTGCAATGGATGGTGCCCGAAGATGAGAATTTGGCAAAGGTTGGATAGAGTTCTAGTCAATCATAGCTGGTTGAATATTTTTTACATCACTATAGATACTTACTTAGTGAGAACAGGATCCGACTATTCACCTTTGTTATCTCAGGTGAAGTACAAAATGTCTAACCCTATCAAAAATTTTAAATCTCTGAATTTCTGGACAGAGGAAGAAGGTTTTATGGGTGTAGTAGAGCAAGCTTGGAATGAAGAAGTGTAGGGATCCCCTCTATAGAAGTTTCATCTGAAACTTAAAAATACGTGCAGTAGGTTGTTTGATTGGTCAAAAATACCTTGGTAATATTTTTGATAATACAAAGGCCCTGGAAGAGAGAGTTACTGAACTGGAGGAAATGTCAATTGCTGATAATTCTACAACTAATAGGGCAAAATTGAATAAATCTAATGTTGAGTTGATCATAGACTTAAAGGAGGAGGAGGACTACTAGAAACAAAAGTCAGGGATTAAATGGTTTGAGGGTGAAGTTAATTCCAAATTCTTTCACTTTGTGGTCAATGGAAAGAGAATAAGACTTTCCTTCAAGAAAATAACAACAATAACGAATCCAGTGTATTCCCATAAATGGGGTTTGGGGATGGTAGTGTGTACGCAGACCTTACCCCTATCTTATAAAGATAGAGAGGCTATTTCCGATAGACCCTCGGCTCAAGGCATAGTGGAAATAAGGCAACAAGTAGCAAACAATAGTAACAACAATACATTAAGGTAACGTGCACGAATGACACAACATGTAATAGTAAAGAATCTTGAATAAGATAACACAAAAATAGTCCTAGTACTACTGGTAAGCCTAGGAGGAACACACTACTAATTATCAACCTTCAACTCTAATCCTCGACCTCCACATCTTTCTATTGTGGGTCATATCCTCGGTAAACTGGAGCAATGGCATGTCCTGCATAACTACCTCTCCCCAATAATTCTTAGGCCTGCC